GGTCCAACAGATCTACATGTGGGGCTTAACCCTCGATTTACCAATGTACATCAAGTTCTGGTTGGTTTATGTAATACCCAAACATGCACACACCCCCTACTCCGCCTTTAATTAGTCGCCTAGACTCCCTTAGCCAAACTCCTAGCGTAACCAGGTTTCACTTACACGCGTGAATGCGTCACTCTTTACCAAGATATGCAAATGAATCTAATGGATAGAGTTATAAATAAAAGACCTCTTAATCCAAAGCATGTCCAAACACCCACACAAAGCCACACAATTATTACTACCACTTATCCGCATAAAGTACCAGTTCCTCTTAGCATTAGACGGGGTTTCAATCAAGGTTATACGTAAGGTTACTACTAATCTCTCTCCCACATCAACTCAATCTCATCCGCTTAAGTTACTAGTAGATTAACTGTATGATTAACACACAGGGTTATGTTACCAGTACCGTGATTCCAACATCATACATTAACTCAACTGTTTTCTGGAACGCGGGGCTGTGCTACCAGCACCCTAAGCACCCTGCTACTAGCATCCCCGCGCCAAGGTGCTCTACGCACTCAAGTGCTACTAGCATCCCAGGAACCATCAGTACCAGTTAGCCCCAGTTACCACTAAAACACGCGGTTACGTTAATAGTAGGCAAGAGATACTAGAACCTCACCCTACCGGTTTACTAGTATCAAATTTATGCTACTAACTTATTCTAAACGGTTACCATCAGCTAACCCCACCTTATAATCCGATTACTAGTAAAAGACGCTATAAAGTTAGTAGTAATAGAGCCTAGCGCAAGATCCATATACTCACGTTACTAGTAACTTTAGTGGATAGAGATGCTATTACATGCAAATAGACCTGTTTTCTATAACTGCTCTAATCTAGGTTTTATAGTAGAATCTAATAAATAATATACACAGACATAAATAATAGCATCTAAAGGCTAAATACCACACTACTAACTATAGTAGTAACGGACTACTACCCCTTCTACATAAAGTAAACATTTACTAAAATTAAGATAAAGCTAGTAAAGAAGTAAAGAACTATAGGACTAGAGGTTATTAGAGAAAATTAGTGTAAGGTAAATATAAATGGAATACGCATATAATAAGGCAGTAACAAATCCAAATATAGTTATACCGCTAAATCTACTAAAGTAAAAGCATGCTAATCGTGGTAATAGCACAAGCGATAAATGTAATAATTGCGAGCGGCAGATAATAAACCGTGTTAAAAATAGACTTCCTAACACCTGCGGGCACATTTAACCCACGAATAGACGCATAAGTTAATGGGGAAATAAGAAACCCCGCAAGCAAAAGCCACGAGAAGAAGCCCGCAAGAATAAAGTAGATTAAAGCTATGCCCCCTTCCGCCTCAAGAACCATTTTCTGATACCGCGGCCGCTGGATTTCATAGTGACGCTGCACTCGCGTTTTGCACAGATGCGCTGTGAATAAAGACCGCAGTTGACTTAATCGAAATGCCATTATAGAGATAGAGTAGAAAACAGAAGTTCATAGTTCCTGGAAATGGTGGATAACATTGGTGTTAAGTATAGTCTGGTGTCTTCATATGTACTCTAATTGCCCTTACTTTTAAGAATACTAGAATTAAGACAGACAAGGGTCTAGCGCTTCGCCCGAGATCTAATCATAGCACGAGTAGTTAGGAAGCGCCCACTGCTCCAATTTCCCCCCAGACACATCTGCACGTCCTTTACATGCATCATGTGTCAAGTGTACCAGACAGTACCAGCCACATGCAGTCTAGTCTGTGTCGCCGCCGCTTAGTGTACTCTCCCCTAACCTTCAGCTGGCATTCTGACAAGGTAGACAAACATGCATCGCTAAGCATCACATTTTGCACGACAGAGTTTAGCATGGAGGTAAATAAAGCTTCTTAACATCTAACTACAGAGATACCGTTGAATTTCCTTTCCCATGCGATGAGAAATTTTATGATTGATTGGCGTTCTAGCCGCCAACATGATTTCTGTGGCTTTAGCCAAAACCGTGCAAACCGTTACCAGCTTAATTGGCAATCGCTTGCAAGCATCAGCAGCAAGCGCTCTAAAGGTGGAATTGTCTATTTTGCGGGAGTCCTTCCTATTTGACTTATTAGTTATTGACGTAGATGGTTATCGTCAATCCTTACACAGAGCTCTCCGCAGCCCTCGAAAAGATCAATAACAGCAGGACCAACGATCCTACCATATCATTCCATTTGTCACCAAAGCGCTTGAGAGTCCAAATGCGACTTCTGGGAGTGGTAGAATTTAAGGCTCTGTCTAAGGAGCTAAGGAACATATCAATTGCCTGAGTTTCATATCGTCTCCGGTGTTTAGCCACAATCAGGTTGTGCAGGCGATCTTGCCGAATACGTCTTTCAAGAGCGTCCAAAAATAACACAAATTGGACATGTCTAAATCGAGGAGGTAGGTTGTCATCATTCCCAGAGAGAACACGATGCAGACCCATAACTCTCGACTCCAAATCGAGTTCAACGACCGGAATACACGGTGGCAGAGCCATGGCCTGCCCTAAAGAAATCCACGCAACCCACGTGGCTTCCCATTTTTGGATAAAATACTGCACTGGGTCTTCCACAATAAACCTTCAGCTGAGACTGAGAATCTGGACCTGTGGTCTCTTCTTATTTTGCTTTCCGTTCTTTTATTAGCGGCTGTTACCTGACTTTAGTTTTGCCTTAGGCCTTAATAACATTAATGAGAAAGGCTACGCAAATGCGTTTAAGGCTACGTGTGAGTTATTTACCCCTATAGGGATTAGTTTAGAATGCATGTATACGGGAAGGAAACTTGCCTTTAGCAGGATTTCCCATGATAGTGTCCCCTTTAAAGTCAAGTAGAGGCGTATCGTATGAAAGATGATGTAATGAGTTACTGCGACACATGTATAAACCCATTAAACCCAGGATAGCCTGGAAGAGCCTTCTTATTAGGGTAACCATGCTGCTACGATTAACGGCGACTATACTAGCCGCGTGTGGCTTCTCGTGTAATAAGAGTTAAGTAAACGCTTCGTAAAGGTTATTAATTAAATTATCCGTTATAGTTTAGTGTAGTTTAGTTAACTCTAAAATAATTATAGAGGTAAACGCAGTATATATACATATAATTACTCTTTTCCTAAAACTTCTCGTTAAAATTAGTTACCTATTAATTTTACTAGATTTAATACCGAGCTTAAGCTTAACGCATGGTAGCCTAGCTGTACCAGATAAAGGTTTTACGCTAATATTTAATGTTAACTTTCGGTTACATGTCTAGACATTAATAGGCTAAGCGCTAGTGTCTGGTCACAAATATTAGATATATATAGTACTCTATTGCTAAAATTCCTTGACTTGGCCAGACCAGACTGCACATGCAGACTTCCATGCCGCTGCAGCGCCTACGTGCGGTTGTGGCTACGTGTCAAGGTGGTACTTGACCGGACCAGCACGACCAGACGTGTCAACTGGCCAGCACCAGACCATATGTGCAACCAGGCTGCGCCCGCAGGCCAGTTGACTTGTAGCACTTGAGGTGCTGCTGTAGTGGCTAGATGCGAACAGGAAACTTGAATGCTACTGTGGCTAGACTGTACATGTGTTTAGAGTGTGGAACTCCCGCTGTGGCTAGACGGGGAATTGCTGCTGCGGCTAAATGAGGAACTGCAGCTGTGGCTAGTTAATCTGCGCGATAAGATTCGTAATTTCATGCTCTAGTTAGAAGTCTAGTACGTAAAGGAGAAGGTAAATACAAGTTAAGAAGGGCACTCTTTAAATTAGTTATACTAGTAAAAGTATAATTAAGCTGTAGTTTAGCTATAAGCTAGCTAGTTATAAGATTAAATAGGAGTTAGTAGAAAGGGCTTAATAATCCTTATAGTGTACTTAACGTGCTAATTCTAATAATTCTTAGAGTGTCACCTATTAAATCTAATACGAGCATAAAGTTAAGAGTAATATAAGTACCAATATAATTTCCACTTTTACTACTATTAGTAAAGAGCAGCATCCTTAGAAATGTTCCTTCGCTAGATAGCAGTTTTCCATGCTACTATTAGCCTGGTATACTCACACTTGTGGGTGGAAAGCCTTAGAGTTATAGGCATTAATAGCACGATAATTGGGCAGCCTGGTTACATTCGGGGTGCTATGTCTAGGTTTAATCTAACCTTCAACGACTTTAAAATGCAGTATCTCTTGCCTGTAAGCCCAAATAGGTTATAAGCAGATAAGCTCTATAAGAATACCCAGAGAAACAGGAATTACACCATTGAACTCCCAGCACTCCAAGCCACTTCTAGCGCTTTCATAGCTCTTTAATACTAGGAAAATAGCTATGTTACCTTGCTAGAGTTAACACCGCATAAAAAGGATAGCAGCACTATATATATATATAGCACTCTATATCCCCGTGACGAAGAATCAATTTCATTAGTCTATAACGTTTGGAATGTAGACGGAATAGGAGGCGATGGTCGTGGTCAACTCCTAGCCGTTAGGAGCTTTGACGATGGACAATGCTACCAAATTAATAACGGCCCACTCTCACTACAGCGACAGGTCAAGTTCAATAAAATCAATTGATCGCCATGAACCCATAAGGCGCTAACCTTTAGTGCCAAAATAACATTCGACTTCCCATTAATATTCCGTTTAGTTAGTACACCCTTTACTAGGTTTAGGATTGGCTAAGTGATCTTTTAAAAGAGAGGCAAGTTGAAATATATACGAGCTACATGGACATCGCAATTCAATTAGGAATTTAGTTAGACGAGATAAATTTTGTTAAGGGGCAAGATCTTAATCTGGCAGGCATTAAATAATAGCTAGAAGAATAGAACAGATTATAGTCTATACTCCACACATTAACCTTAAGAACTACAGAATTTAGCCTGCATACAATCATCTGCATTTAGAATCTGCCCCTAGCTTACTTCCGCTTCCTCGTGAAAACTGATTCATAATTAGGCATAATGCCAATCATCGCAAAACGTGATTTGTTCCCTGTCATGTAGGACTACGTCTTAGCGCGATACAGATTATGGGAACTATTAAAGCACTGCCTCCCTGTAACGCATTGATGCCAGGCATTACTAGACTAGACGTATTAACGCGTTAATGCCTGGACGTGTTAACTGGGCTAAGAGCCACTAGAGCTCTCTCCACGCTTTAGTGGATAAAGGTCTGGTGCATGTGGGGCCAAGTTTTTGGTGTGATGTGGTCTGGTCTGGTTAAAAGGGAACTAGGCCTTAAAATAACGCGCTTCCTATATTTAATAAACAACCCTTAGTGTAAAATAGGAACACTTTAGCTTCTTTACAGTTAAAACCTCACCTTGTAGTTGAAATCTATAATAGACGAAATTAAACAACTACGTTAATTACTTTAGAAGGAAAAGCGTCTACGCGAAGAAGAATAACGCGATCGTAAAGAAGAACGGAAAGAAGAACGACGCTAACTTGAAGAAGAATAACATTAACGCGAAGAAGAATAACGCCGTCGTAAAGAAGAACGGAAAGAAGAACGACGCCAACTCGAAGAAGAACGACGCCGTCGTAAAGAAGAACAACGCTGTCGTGAAGAAGAACAACGCTATCGTGAAGAAGAACGGAAAGAAGAACGACGCCAACTCGAAGAAGAACGACGCCGTCGTAAAGAAGAACAACGCTGTCGTGAAGAAGAACAACGCTATCGTGAAGAAGAACGGAAAGAAGAACGACGCCAACTCGAAGAAGAACGACGCCGTCGTAAAGAAGAACAACGCTGTCGTGAAGAAGAACAACGCTATCGTGAAGAAGAACGGAAAGAAGAACGACGCCAACTCGAAGAAGAACGACGCCGTCGTAAAGAAGAACAACGCTGTCGTGAAGAAGAACAACGCTATCGTGAAGAAGAACGGAAAGAAGAACGACGCCAACTCGAAGAAGAACGACGCCGTCGTAAAGAAGAACAACGCTGTCGTGAAGAAGAACAACGCTATCGTGAAGAAGAACGGAAAGAAGAACGACGCCGACTCGAAGAAGAATAACATTAACGCAAAGAAGCTAAGGAATTAGCAAAATTATTACTGCCTCTTACTTTAAAGCAGTATCTTAAGGGTTACCACTCCCTTAATATCGCTCTAACAGCTATAACGGACCGTTCCCTGATAACACAGGGCTTAACGACTAACCTAACCGGCCGAATATTCCCTCGCCGCATTATACCATGGAAAGATTTCCCAGTGAGGTAATAGGAGGTCTGGGAAAGGCTAGCTATTAGCCCTAGCTTCTCTTCCCAAATAGTATATCCATCTTAACACTAGTTATTATACGTTAAATCTATCCTCCAATTAGTTAGTAGCGAGATTAGTCTCCGGTACTTTAAGCGAGATGTAGTTGAAAATGCCGTTCGGAAACTAGTTAATAAGATTTATAAGGACTTAATATTACGAGAAAGTCTTAGCCTTAAGGGAACTATAACCTTTAAAAGCTATACAAACCTTAAGGAGCATAGCGATCCGGTTCTTTAATCCATGAAACGCATGTTAATAAGCAACTATAACACTCGGACTCCGGTATAGACATTAACGACAAGGACACATTAAAAAGCAAAGGGGAAGGGTAATAAGGCAGACTAATTTTACATATATAGGACTATAGAAGGCAGAAATATTCCTATGATCGCGATTGAATACAAGGCACCACATAAGCTAAGCGTGGACGAGATTACTACTAGGCTTAGTGCAGAGATCTGGCCGGAACGAGATATAATTAACAAAGAAGGCTAGGACTTTACGTTTAATGCCAAGGCTCTTACTACTACGGTTGTCACGCAACTCTTCTCTTATATAGTTGGCAAAGGTATTTTATATAGCTATTTCTACACTAGGCAAGCTTTTGGTTTCCTTTATATCCTAGATAATCTAAGCATTATATACTGCGCTACGTGTGTGCTAAAGCAAGATGTTATGAATAACGATAAGAATAGGCTCTATCGCATAGCTGCTACGCAGGTATTTGCCTTTCTTATCCAGGCTCTATTAGCTACACCACCTGTAGAATTATAGTATAATAATGCCGATAAGCTTAGATAGTGGGATGTTAAATATAAGGATATACTAAGTAAAATTCCACTATTAGAACGGAAAAACAAGGAACCTCGTATATTACCTTATAAGCCTTAGCGTTAGAAAGGATTTACTTAATCGCCTATTTAAACTTGTTCCTGCTACTAACCACTAGCTATAAGGTTAGCGCGCTTAGAAGACGAGAATGAATATAATCCTCCTTCTCCCACGTTAAAATTATCCTATAAGAGCAAGAATAAAGCGCGATTATCCATAACAGAAAGCAATACTACTAGTAAAAGCGCCTAAAAGCGTAACCAGCGCTAAAGTCATTAATAGTAGTAATCTTATTAGCAAGGCAGAAGGTAGGTCTATATTAAAGACCGTTTATATTATACTTAATAATATCTCCTTAGCTTAGCATATAGGGGGCCTATTAATAAGGACTGCCTAAACGCGTAATATCACGGCAGGGTTTACATTGCTTAGGCCACATTTCTTTAACTTCTACGGTCCCAGCTTGTAAGAGACCGTGGTCTAGATGCGGATTGTATTTCGCTTTACTTATCAGGATCGCGGGGGGCCTTATTTAAAGTGCGAATGTCGGCCTACGGTTACACATTTGTAGTAAAGGGTATGGAAAAATTTAATCGGAACCTTCTTACCCGCGAAAGCTAAATCTATTGTAGGCTTCACCTAATTTAGGGCAATTACGTGCTAGTCTGCCTTAGTATTATTAACTTAATACGTCTATACCATTATAACGGTGGAGTTTACACTAACTTCCTATTCCTTAGCTGGGCCGGCCAATCTCTCGCTTAATATATTAACCCAGCTAATTAGTCAAGTCTCGTTAATAAAGTCGTAACTGCATTAAGGGCACTTCATAGATTAGGGGTTCTCCATTGTAATGCTAAACCCCGTAACATATTATTTGATTCTGAGACTAGCGGCGTAATAGTAGTGGATTTTAAACGGTTAGAGTTTCTAAATCGTTAACCTCTTATATCTATAGACTTAAATAGCTAAGAACGAAAGAGGAAGCGTGATCTAGGTCGCAAGAAACACGAGGAGGAGTGTGTAAACGAGTTACGGTCTACTGCTAACTTAATACAGCGATAACTCTCTAAATAAAGCCTTTAAAGCCACTAGAAGGGAGCTTTATAAATAAATATTATTAACGCGACGTCGTAGTAGCATTTCTTTTTGTGTCATTTAACTAGGCGGGGAGGGGAAGAAATCATTAGATATAATATTAGTGTTCTATTAAGTAATTCGAAAATAGAAGCCTAGTAGATCGCAACTTAGGATCTAGTGTGCCCTGTGACTCCGAGACGAGAGAGGCCACTATATTAATTTATAGTAGACCGTTTATTAAACACTAAGTCTTTATAATAGAGTTATTAGTTACTACTATAGTAGTTTATTATCCATAATAATTTTAATGTTAGCTATTAGGCTAGCGCAAATCGTCTTTTTAGGCAGAAATAGACTCAGGTATTTTAGCAGAAAAGAAAGATTATGGTCCCATAGAACCAAAAATTTACAAGTTATAAATATAATGTAATAGCCCATTTTACCATTATTTTTAATTCTCTCCGTCTACTTATTCATCCAACCAAGTTTATGTTAGTATATAGCTTATTATTCTTAACCTCTTTATAAGTTAATTAACTCTACGAAGCCTTAGACTTCTAGCTAATATAAGTTATAAATTATAGAACTACATAGCATTTAAGCTAAGCAGAACCTAAACGACCTTAAATTGGCTTTTTACGCATATCTTAATAATATTCTAACTTGGGTGGAACGACTTAATAAACTATACGAGAAGCTATAGCCGCTAAATTTATAGTATAGCTTAAGCGACCAAAAAATGCTTGCTAAGTTTAGCGTATTTATATAAACACTTAAAAAAAACGCAAAAGCGTGGAGGATGCGTGTACGCGTATTAGAGTCTGGGAAACACGTACGGATATCTGCTAGCCTAGAACGACTCATTTGCTATCTGAGTGAAATTTAAGATAAGGCAGGCAATGTAGCGGACTCCTTGTTAAGACTAGGTTAGTATTGATCGTAAATTAGAGATGTGCGCCTAAAATTAAACGAATTATACTATTATGTGGAGGAATGTTAATAGTAACTACAAGAAACACTACCATTATTCGTTATATTAAGAGTGCTTTACTAGGAAGATCTTAACCTGTAGATTCTCCGCGACGATAAAAGTGGTAGTAGACGAGACTAAGTTAGAGAACTATTTAGATCTAGTGAAAGAAGGAAGAGAGAGATAAATTAACATTCCTATATACTAACGCCGCTACTTATTAATATGAGAGTGTTTAAAGCGACATTATAGTATTCTTACCCCTCTAAATACGCCGAGATAGCACATTATTACATGTAGTTAAATCCAAAGTCGCTATTATAATAAACGTATGAATAGCAATTAGAAAGGGTACTCTTAAATTGCCGCGTTTAAAGTCTTATACTAAGAATGTGCATTTTTACAGCTGCTTAAAGTCTCACACTAGGTACAAAGCAACTATAATGTAGTTCTTACATATCCATAAACATCTTATTTTCTTGTGTTAACCTACAAGACAGAACCTCTTTGCATCTTGTAGAGCCTATTTCTTAGGTGGTGGAACATAGGCAAAGGAATCCTCGTAGTCGCTCCGTCTACAGTCCTAAGACTTCTTTAGCGTCTTATTAGCCTAGGCTGAGTTCTAATAGCACATGTTAACCAGAGCTATAACGACTTCGGTTTTCATCTAAACAAGTAAGCATTTCTATTATTAAGCTATACGCGTAAGGAGCTAACCTTATCTAATATGTAGTGTATATATAACGTGAATAAAGTTAAGAGAATGTTAGGCTTGTATAATTAATGAAGAAGAGAAAAGTAACTGTATCTCTAGATAGGAGGGAGATAATATTTATAGTTAAGGAATTATTATTCTATGCGGGCAGAGCTGTTACGTGAGAGTAACTTGGATTAGTAAGTAGGCAGCTTAATAAGAACTAGTAGCCTGTATAACTTTACTTTCTTAATTAGAACTCCATGCATGAACCCCGCTTAGGTCTTCTCCCTTAGCAAAATTAGGTAGAGATTAATAACATATATTCGTACCTTTATAGCCGTTACGGCTAGCCGCGTTTACCCTTTTCTCCCGGCCTTACACTATCGCCACATCGTTATAGGGTTAGTAGATGTCATTAATCTATTTAGGGATTGTTACTCGCGCTCTCTAATCCTCCGTTAAATCTTAATCCATTAAATCTTAATCCTAATAATAGTAACCTTTAAGCTGCGTCAGGGGCAACTATAACAGCTAGTATTTTCTATTATGCGTGCAACTTTCACTAAGAAGAACAGTACTATAACACTCTATAGAAAAAGATGTAAGACTAAAGAGATTCCGCGACGCTATAACATATTTAAGTCTTTAACTCTATCAAATGTAATAAGAGGATCTAGTGTTATGTCTCTGTACCTCGAATAAGATTTGCATGTTTATCGCCTAGTTGCGTTAAGGAGAGCACTATATTTGCTTGAACTTCTATTAGCTCTTCCTTATAGCAATAATAACTATCTGTAATAGTAGCTTAGGTTCTAAGGT